CGATGGAGACGAGAATAACGAGTTTAGATATTTTGGCACGGACGCTGTTATTTCGAAATCTCTGTTGCACGAAAAGAATTCGATTAACATTTGCAGGAAAATTGGAAACGAACTACAGCTGTCTCTCGATTTGCGCGAATTTCCGTTCCACGTGGACTTTGATTGCGCGAATGAAAATCGAATGAAGGGAGTCTGTTAAGTGCAAAAAATAGAAGCTTAATATATAACTTAATTTAATTGCAAATTAAATGTTTACGAAATTCGAGTGGTCGTCGAATGTTCGGATTAACGTCCATAATTTTCAATTGTTTGGCTGATTCGAGCGCTTTACGATTTACCAGCTGCCTAAATTCAGATAAATACCGCCTGCCTAAATTCAATAATACCGCGAGAATTATAATTTTAAACAGTGTTATATTTGTTTATCTTAAATCGAAAGACGAATGTACAAGAATTCTGATCACAATTATTATTGATTATTACGATTAGTATTCGATTATCTAACGATCTTCTTCCGCAAAATTAAATTAATAAAAAATTAAAGAACGATCATCACCGATAATTAACATTATTAATTGTTCCCATCGCTACAGACAAGTTTGACTTCGCTCTTGACGATCACTTGCCTCAATTCTGACTTGTTTCTCGCGTCTAAACAGTGGACACGCAATCAGGCAACTATAAATCGGTCGGCGTAGGAGCGAAAGACTCGCCCCTAACGCCCACGGTAGAGCAAGGGATGATTATGTTCGGGAACAACGTGGATGATAAGAATGCTAGGGAGCTTACCAGCAGTACGATGTCGCCGATTAATTGTACGACAGTAGTCTACGCCGTTCCCGAGGAGGATCGCGTCGTTGTTGGATATATCAATGAATGGATCAATGCATACTCATTCATATCGAGTAAGTACGAACGTCGTTTCCAATGCCGATAACACGCGGAGGCACGCGAACGTTGTTTATCAATTACAACTCCATCTTTACCGACGAACATCGTCGGTAAAAACAGGTTTCGCTTCGGTGAACCGTCGGACAGTTGCCCGCAGTCGGGACAGTACCTGCTGACGATCGTTTATCCATAGTCGATAATTGAACCCTTGGTCGATAACTTATCCGTAGCCGATAATTTACCCGTGGTCGATAATTTATCCGCAGTGGATCGCACAGAGACTGACGAGTTCCGTTCCGCGGATAACGCAGCTGTCTCCTTTGCCGATCGTCGGGAATGAAACGCGCGTTTGTCGGTAACACGTTTAAACACTGGAGAGTAAAAAGTTAGCGCAAATTAAATTTGTTTAACGCTCGACGAGTGGGCCGCAGCGCGCCGAGAAAGACGAACGTCGCGCCAGCTTGAGACCTTTGTAGATTAACGAAAGTATGCGTGATTTAGGGTTGCATCCGATTGCTCGAAGCGTGATCGATTTTTCCATGGTTTGCAGTCCATAGAGTTGGGCACCTGTGTTTGGCATTGCATTTTCTCCAGTGGCAGACATCATTTTCTCCGTAGTTATTTGCATGCGACTTCTTAGGCTGCCTCGGCTCGCAAAATTGTTCCAGGCTTTGTATACACGGCCGCGGCACGGAACGGCCGCGACACGTTTCACAACGTCACGCTAATCGATCCGTCGTTTCCGTTCCGACAGAGAACCAAGAGAAATTCTACCTCTACATCATCGTCTCGGTCACCGCCGGTATACTGATCTTTCTCGGATTGGTGATCGGCCGGCTCCTGGTCAGCCGTCATCGCGCCAAGAGGGACGCGAAATTCCACGCGAACAACGAGGCGCTACCCAATGGATTCACCGATGACATTTCCGAGATCGACGCTGATATCGATCTCACGACGCCGGTGCCAGTCCCGATGCAAGACACAAGGTACATACTTATGCGCCGCATTTAATGACCTCCACGAACATTACGCTCAATTTTATGCTCTACACCGCGGATCCTAAGCTAAGAACCACTGGCGTAACTTGTACTATCGAGACCGAAAGATATTTCTAAACTTGGAAAATCGACTTTTTCGTATCGCCTGCTGGTTGTTAACGAGAAACAATTAAATGAACGATGAATAACTCTTTTCGAATTTGGGCCCCTCGTCCAGACCCAATAGCAAGTGATTCGATGAATTAATCATTCGTTCGAGATTACAGATCGCTGATCAATGATTAAAGATTAATGCAACGGTGATTACTAATTTATCAACGATTAGTTAATTAATGTATACGATTATCATGATTGCTTCTCGAAATCGATTACTGTTCGACTCTGTCCTAAGTCGTAACTAGATTGCGGATCTTTATGCAAATTTCTAATTTCATGAATCATTTTGTAAAAAATCAGAATTATGCAATAATTCCGTCTGTTGACCAACAAATTACACGTTGCAAGAAGAAAATAAAAATGCTGTTAGTTTATATTATTATATATTACTTGATATCATTAAATATTTACTATGTATTACTATATATTACTTACTTTGCATTACTATATATTTACTATACAGGGTTTTTCCAAAAATGTATCGCAGTCCACAAATAGAGGATTCCTGAGGTTATTTGAAGTAACTTTTGCCTCAGCGAAAATGCAATCCGCGGCTTTTTTGTTTAGAAGTTATTAACGAAAAATACTGACCAATGAGAGGTGAGATTAGTTGCCGCGAGGCGGCCGAGCCAATGAACGTCTTCGTGCGCTCGTTGGCTGCGCCGCCTCGCGTCGGTCAAGCTGGCCTCTTATTGGTCGGGGTTTTTCGTTAATAACTTCTAAACGAAACCGCGGATTGCATTTTCGCTAAGGAAAAAGTTACTTTAAATGACCTCAGGAATCCTCCATTTCCAGATTCCGAGATATTTTTAGGACATCCTGCAT